TGACTGACAGCGAGCGAGATAACATAGGCGCAGCAATGACGCAGCCTAGGCGTAGCACCATCTATACTGACACTTGTAGAATCCAAACTGACTGACACTTGTCGAGGATTTACTGTAGTCAGGGCCAAATGTATTGGCCGGTCACGTGGTTTTCTTTTCCGCCGCTTTTCGGTTCCATTCTTACCGTTCGGCAGTTTACAATTGTTCTATAGAATCTTTCTGTTCCATCCTTAAACTACGCTTACTATGCTAAGGCACACATGCACACACACACGCGCCAGTATAAAATACACGAATAGAGCTATAGCGAGAGTAAGCAAATCGCGGTACTTGAAAAGGATACCGCGCACATTACAATGAATCATTCGATGACGAAATTTCTATAATTTTCATCCTTTCTTAATGAAAATAATACCAGTGGATTAGCGAGGTTCCTGGAATGAAAACGAGTTCAAACACAGCATAAATGGACTGAACTTAACAATCAGTTTAAATCACCTCTGAAAATTGTATAGTACGAGCCATAATATAGGGAGGTAGTGAATTAAAACCTCAAACTGCAGGACTGATTGATGTCGCCGCACTTTGGGCCGTACACTGAATTTTGCACAATAAAAAAATGACGACATACAACTAACGGTGTTTCATTTATAAGTGAAAAATCTGCAAATGTCAATTACTATTTGGAATATTTGGAGTTTTATCTTATGCTAGAGTAAGTCATTAATGTTTCATACAACTCATTTAAACGACAAAACTAAATTTGCTAACGGGTTTCAAATTTTCGTAAAGGCCGAGGTTTCAGGTCTCTCACTCTTCGTATTTGTGCCAATTCGATTCTCTGAAACATGTTTACTTTGACTTCTGGGCAATTTTACAACCTCGCTGTATTGTGACCCGTACCGTATGTCTCGTTTTCGCTATCCGAGTTATTTAAATTGATTACTGGAAAACGGATCCGATTTATGTCGTGTTTGGACTTATTTTCATCGGGAGAATATCGTCAATTCATTGGTACTATTTCCATAAAGATAGGATGGAAATTAGAGAAAGTGAAATTTTTGAAATTGGGTGATTCATTGCAACGCAGGCGGTATCCCTTTCAACTGTCGTGTCTCGACCGTCGTTGCGTGTGCACTACATCTCTCTCGAGAAAGCCTATTGCCAAAAAAAGATAGATGAAAGAGGTTACCTTCATAAGATATAAGACGAAGAGAGCATATTGCCGCCAGAAGTAAAACAAAGATCGTGTTACAAAACAGATACGCCCATGCGCCTATGAGGTTGACCTATTGAACCACTACATATACAGTTCTTGCTTGGTAGGGTTCGTCGGTGTGGAAAAGCGGAGAGAAGAAATCCACGTGACCGGCCAATACATTTGGCTCCGACTGTAGTGAACCTTTAATTATATAGGAATCTACTTACTACACTACCAACTTCGCAACCACAACTGCAGTGTTGGTGTTAAGAAGTTATAAACGCTGAGATTATTGAAAATTTCATGTTAAATATCTTTGTAAATAATGCACATTGGTAAAAACGCTCAGATAATAGGTCTATTTATTTTTGCTCTAGATTCACCCGAAAAAGTTTAGTTACAATCGATAACTTACCAACTGTACATCTCTCTTAGTTATATATGGGAAACCACGTACTTTTTGCATGCTACATATTATAACATGCTTCATCTTAAAGTTTTATCGTATAAAGATATTATAACGTGACGAAAGAAAGTTTAATGGAAACATAATACATAGGTACATACACTACCGGCCAAATGTTTGGAATCACTGTGCATTGCAAGTTACACAAAAATTTCCAGAAAAAAATAAGCAATTTTAAGAACTTTTTAACGAATTTTTTATAATTTATATTAATCGAAATGGGGTAAATTGCTATTGGTCTCTACATCATTTCATTTACAATATTGGTGTAAATTGACAAGTGATTCCAAATTGGCCGGTAGTGCTGAAATATATTGGTGATACAGGTAACTGCACCTAATATGAAACACCTGATTTTAAAAGTTTGCCAAACATAGACATGCTTTTTTTTTAATGAAACTAACGTTAAAACACGACAAAATTAATAGATATTCGCATGTTAATAGTTAACTATGCAATAGTTTAAGTGTCTTGAAGTCACGGTAAAAAATGTAAAAAAAAGTCAAACACAGCAAGTTGACAAAATGGTACCTAATATGGAACACCTAGAAAATTTGTAACGAAATCTCAAAAATCTTTATTTTTACCATGAAGAATCAATATTTATGTAAATAAAAAAACAAATACACAAATATCTTCTTTTTTTTTAGAACTTTGTCCCAAGATTTTCTTTTAATTTTTGGTACTATAACTTCCATCTATCATACAAACAATAATAATAATAATAGCACAAAACTATGTAATATATTGTAATACAATAATATAATGTACTTATAATGGTAAAAATATAATATAATACCATATTAATATAGAACATGTTCCATATTACGTACACTCAGCATGTTCCATATTAGGTACATACATATTTCCGCAGAAAAATAATAATTATACTAATTGTAAGAAGAAAAATTTAACGGTAAATTTCTTTTAAAGACACAAAACCAAACATGTTTAATGATAAATCATGCAAAAGTAATATTTGTTTACCTTATCTTCACTACAAAATTTCACTACTTAACTCGCCCCTCAAAAACTTTTTTACGCTTTCAAGCAACATTCAGCTTCGCATTCAACGACGGACTTGTAACTGAAGCTCAAACGTGAATATGATTGTCTGTTGTTTTTAACGAAATATTTTACACTATGGTCCATTGATTTTGTTATTTATTTGCCGAGATATTGCGATGTTCCATATTAGGTACAGTTACCCTACTGTGTCTGCAACATCACTTGAGCAATGGATAAGAAATATTTCAGTGAGTCTTGATAGTGAAAACATTTATTGAATCCTGACAATTTAATGTCACATTAGGAGAAAGTGTTTCAAGTTTCTGTGAACATATCTAATTAATGACATTTTAAGCAACCTAATCGATTCCAGCATTTTTGTTAAGGAAAACAGTTGTTTGTACTGACCAGCATGCGTTCAATATCGCTTACCAGAAGTATTCACAATGTTGCCTAGGTTTTAGCGTGGTATTTGCTACAATTGGAGATATGAAAGGAGCAACAGAGCTAAATTCGTGGTCGTTTAAAAAAATAATATGTAATAATATAAATATTTTGAAATTATATTTTTTTTATATCTACAACAAATATTCATATGATTAAAAATAATAAATACAGAGTCTCCCCAAAATCGCGGTACAACCGGCCGGGTGGTGATTCTATATGCAAAAATAAGTCGAAAAAAAGAAGAGCATTTTATCATTTAAGGCTTCATTTTCGAAAACAATTAATTTGAAAATCCGTCAGATGCCCGTGTGTTAACTGCAAGTTTCGAGGTATGAAACTTCTGTTTCTACTCGAATTTGTATTATTAAACACGGACAATATCATGATTTGCTTGCTGTTATTGTTCTTCAAGGATGACACCGGCGTTCAAGAACTAAAAGCAAAGATTGTTTTGGCGTTGGAAGATTTAAAAAATACACATAATTCACTGGAAGAAGTGCATAATAATTTAGTTCAAAGAGCACTTGTACATTAATACAATGGTTTCTTAAAAAGTACTAATCTTATCCGTATTTATGAACCATTCAAATTAAATACAGAATAAAAGTGAGTAACAGTACAGACCGGTACCGCGGAAATGAGATAACAGCAATAACAAGAAGCAAATCGTGATCTTGTCGATGTTTAATAAAACAAACGCGAGTAGACACAAATTCATACCTCGAAACTTGCACTTAATACACGGGTACCTGACAGATTTTTAAACCCATTTTTTTTGCGAAAACGAAGCTTTAAATGAAAAAATGTTATTCTTTTTTTTCAACGGCCGGCACTACCACGATTTTGGGGACACCCTGTATACATACAGATATAAATTTAGAAGCTCATAAATACGTGAATCAATCAATATTTCTCAGGTAGACGATATTGTGTGTATTTTCTCAAGATCCCGATTTTTGTTTACTTGTGTTTTTCCAATCGTGATTTAGAATCTTTAGATTTCAACAATTCTAAGTTGCCGTACACGAAACACGAACAATTGTTTTTTTTCTTCATCTGAGATTAATTAGATGTGAAAATATCAATTGTCCTTCAATTGAGGACGACTTGAATCTCAGCAGGCGAAATTATGTAGGTACTTTCCCTATAATTTCATCAATTTATATCGAAATAAACAAGCTTCTGTTATGACACCTTGCAGTATTCACAAATCAATTTCGCGTAATCTTTCTTCTTATTAGTTTCGTTATAAATTACTAAAATAACTTGCAAATGCAAAATTCGAATTTTAAATTTGTATTCGATGAAGTTTCAGGTAAAACTGAAAGACTAATACATAGTGCCTGTAGGTGTGTATATTTTCGAAGAAAATAAATTCTTACCGTGTGCCTGTCAGTGTTCTCTTTGGTTCTAACAATAAATCTTTCGAGTTATACGGTAAATTGGCCTGCTGACAGGTATAGTGTTTATAATTGTCTACGTTAAGCATGCAACGTAATGTGATCGATAAAAATTTACCTGTTTACTCATTTGGCTGTACATCACAGGGTAGATGTACCCTATCGGTTGGCAAGATGTTCATTATAATGTAAATAGAACTCTCCGAATTCTTGCTGATATTCCTGAATATTTGTTAACTAAACGATTTTGTTCAAACGAGTTCGTTCAAGTGTCAAACGTATACGAAGCATAGGTCTTATAATTTCAACGAAGATTAAGATCAAATTATTATGCAACCAAGTAACCACGGTAGGGTACGTCGGTGTTTGTTGAAAGTGGAATGCGTGAAAATAGCGTAAAATAGAAAAAATGTTGTTTAGATTGTTTAAGCTGAGGGAAAGAAAACATTTAACGATAAGCGTAATTCGAGATACGTACGTTTCAAAATAGCTGGTAATGTACGATGAATGCGCGATTTTACGGTGTAATTCGAGCCAGCGATTGGAGGCATGTCAAGGGATGTCAAAGGACTTCCGTGGCAGGTTAGAAGAGGCGACCGAACAGGAGCGCCGGAAGCGGAGTGACGTGTCCCGTGAAACGTTCGTTAGCTAACACAGTAGCGGAAGAATCTTTGTGTGCGACCGAATCGTACGCAGCGAACCGGCAAAACCGAAGATGGAGCGATCGCGGCGAACCGTTCGAACTGAGATCGGGCTTACTTTCCGCTACGCTTGGATCCTCTCCTTCTTCTCTGGCACTTCTCCTACTACTCCGACCCACACCACTCGCTTCCACCACCCGTCGCAATGATCGAATCATTAACTTTGGAAAGGGTCCTGCCACTGGCGGATACGAGCTTCTTTCTCTCTTTCTAACCTCTCGGTCAATGTCTCTCTCGTATTTTCGATCGTTCCTCTGCTCCATTTTCCTTTGATAACAATTTCTACGAAACACACTCGCCTATCGGAATATTCTGTCACTTTTGAAAGCAACTTTGCATAAGGAACGCGCGGCACACGAACAAAAGGTAAAACAAGCGTAATAACGAACTTTTCTCCGAGTTACAAGCGTTTTGTTTCCGCATCAATCGAATACTTGCGAATCTTGAGTACACAGCGTAATAGCGTGAAGGACATTTACGATTTCTTTTCTTTTGTTAATCTTACTGTTATTATAATTCATTCAGAAGTGGTAAGTGATTTTTTTTAGTAATTTTGCCCTGAGTCTGTATCAACGGAAATTCTGAGGGCTCTTTAACAGTATTAACTGTTGCAGCTGCGTTTAGCTATACGTACATTTTCGGTACGATAATACAAGTTAGCGAAAAAGGAGCACACGAAAATACATAGAAACGATAAAGAAAGCTCTAAAAAAAATGTTTAAAAACACATTCTTTCAACGCTAGAAAGATCGACCGGGTCAAAATTGACCCATTAGTACTTTCTAAAAAAAAGTGAATGTTCGATACTGGTAAGTATTATGGTTTGTAACATTTTGCATGTATACTTCCATTTGTATCGATACGAGTATAATTTCACAATTATGCCTTGGTTACATAAAAAAATTTACTTTCGAAAAGTTACCAATGGGTCCGTTTTGACCCAGACAGTATGAAAATAATAGAAATTATTTTGACGTCAGAAATTTCATGCAGAAAGTTTCAGTGAATTTCTGATAAAAATTAATTTATTGGCTGATGCTCTATTCGAAACTCTTCTAATTGTAATCTATCAACGTGGAATTTCTATACATCAGTGGATAAACTAACCTACACTCGAATCGGCTATTTTATTTAAAACGTGCTTCAGTTAAATATCGAAGAGCGTGGATATATCTACGCACTTGTTGCGAATCTCTCGGTCCAGCTTGCCACGCAGGTATTGCAACCTGTGTGGCATGAGAACGGGGTCTTCTCTTCTCACATAATGAACGACTTCGAAGAACGGTAGTGGCATTGACCTGAATCTATTAGGACTTCGGTTTGGCGGTATTATAGCTGCCCGTGAATCAATCCCTTACTTAGCAACATTCGTGGACCACACGAAACTGCGCATCGCTCATTATACCGGTCCTTGTTCCATGTTTCTTATGTCCGTCGGCGCAAAACTTTTCTTCTTTTCGATCGTGCTTTGCCAAACTCTATAAATAATGTATGGCATGTATGCAACAATTGTTACCGAGGAATCACACCAGTGGAAAAACCATTTTGCCCGGTTTATTTCCTGCCTTTAACACGTTCCACGATATGCGTTGATTACATGAAACATTCACATATTAGGTCATCCCATAAATTCGTGCCAACTTTTATAAATGTAGACTAATATTTCCAGCAAACCTTTAAATTTGATAAATAAAAGAAAAGAAAACAAACGTAAGCGCCTTCTGGTTCCACAATTTTTTTTTCTATTTTTGCTTGGTGAGACCGTTATGCAGTTACTAGAATTTTCTTGTATTTTTATTAAAATTATTTTCGCTTTCAGCACGAGGGAAGTAAAAATTGATGTCACAATGAGAGAAATTTGTGCGTGCATGTTTGTCACTGGATAGACGGTCCGTTTTATATCTTTCCAAGATTTGAATTTGAACTATTTGTCTTAAGATCGAATTTCTTGCTAATGCCATTTGAAGAAAAATATATCGCATGTGCTGTGTTTGTGTCCGTAAAGCAAATTAAATAGTAGGTACATACTACTAGATTTCAAAGAATGTAAAGTGATTCAGTGTAAACAATGTGAAGTTATTATAGCAAAGTGAAGCAATGTAAACGTTGCAATTGTTAAAACTGTTACAAAGGACAATGATAGTGATAAATAGCTAAAAGTGGCCTAAAACTGTAAAAGATCATAAATAAAAATTTAATTAACGTTGAGAAACATTACTAATTAGGAAACAAATAGTTTTAATAAACATAAATATAAATAAAACTATTTCAACGCTAATGCATTTACAAGTACTTCCCATACTACAATTGTGTATTTAATACAAGTCATTTGCAGAATAAAAATGTTATTTATATAATAAAAAAGGATTATTTTAAAACCAAATTTTGTGTTTCAAGTAAATATACCATGATAATATAATGTAATGCATAGTGAATACATTATATATTACAATGTATAAACAATGTACTATAATAACCTCATATAGTATACAAAAAATGTACTATAATAGCACATGTAGTGCATGAAAAATTGACTATAATAACTCGATTAATATTAATTTTTAAATTTAAATTTTGAATGTTGAAACTTCAGTTAACCTAACCATGAAATTTAAATCGCAATTGAACGTGCCTGCACACATTAAATGTAGAATTGTAATATCTCTACAGTGCATAAACTGACGTTTTCATATTTGCGCTCACCGAAACTATTTTAAATCATAATGTTTCAGTAAAGTACACCTGCCTGCTTTATGTTTCTTGTACTAAAATATTCAGAAAAGAATAATTATTAATACCGGAACGCATAGAGAATGCAAAATGAAGACATTCTATGTAGGTACATATAACTTTAAAACCAGTTTGAAATATGCTGTGTTCATCATCCATATAATACTATACACCATTGTTTAATCACACAGTAAGTCGTACAGTAATGTAACAAGGGAAAGCTATATATGGAATTAATATTTTCAACCATCAATAAGTTACAATCATTAACATTTGTGAGACTTACAGAGGAAGTTCGGTAACTGGGACAAGTTTTAAAAATTTCTTTTCTAATTACGGAATAATTGTTCGTTTCGGTAATGAAACGGTCCTAGGGACGAAAATACCACTTCAAAAAATTATGAATTTTAATATTATCGCGAATATTTATGAAACCGTACAAGATACGGAAAAGAAGTTAAATTCAAAGTTATATGGTTTTTGACGTCCTACATTGAGATAGTAAAGAATTTTCGAAAAACTATTTTTTTCAAAAAAGAGTGGTGGAGGCAAATTTTGAAAAAAGTGATTTTTTAAAATTCTGTACCACCACAATGTAAGACATCAAAAATCATGCAACTTTGAATTTAACTTTTTTCCATATCTTGTTCAGTTTTATAAATATTCACGATAATATTAAAACTCACAATTTTTTGGGGGAGATGTTTTCACACCGCACCGTTTGATTACCGAAACAAACAATGATATTGTTATTAGGGTCAATTGAATTACATTTCTACAAAGTTTCAAATTTTTTTTTAATTTTCGAATTACCGAACTTCCCTTATTAGAAGAGACGTACGTAGATTGTCAAAAGCAATAGGACGATCATAGCCAATTTAGTAGCAATTCTATTTAAATTTAGCATATTTAACATTAAATTGTAGACAGTGTATCGTAATGAGTAAGTTGGAAAAATATATCTACTTGAATGTGTTTTACTTCGATTAATAAAGTTTATTCAGTTATAAGTATTCTTGTAACGACGTTTTAAATAATACGTACAAAATATTAACATCTGGTGAGTTTACTTACTGTCTGCGACACAATGTGGCAAACAGCCAAATCAGTTATTCGTTAATTGATATGTGCGTTGCATACATTCACCCCCGATAATCCTTTGAAATACTGCATAAACTACACATGTTTCCTCGCCTACGTAATGATACATATAAATCAGAGGAGACAGTTATTAAGTAGCGTCGACCACGATTTATACTTAATCAATCATATTCAGTAAGGTTAATAATTTGTCAACTGAGATCGTATCCAATGTTTACAATCCATCATGTAGCTCAGAGCCGCTTGACGTTGCTCACGAGCACTGCTATGAGCAAAGCTAACAAGAAAAGCATGTGACGTCGTGAACGGAGTGAGGGAAAACGGTAACGGTGGGAGTGTAGGCTCGTAGGTAGCCACGTGTTGGTACGTTCGTGAAGCCTTTTGTAAAGTTAGTGGAAGGAATATAACGAGGTCGTAACACCCAGAGTCGAATGCGGTATTTTTCGTTTTTCGATTAGGACTGAATCAAAGCTAAGGTATACTTCATGCGACCCTTAATGATGTTTCAGGTCCTCCCAGGTTTCTGTCGATTCGCTTGTCGATATGCTCGAACGTGTAAACTTTGACGCCTGACCGATTATACGAGCTATATTTCTTCTATCGACTGTACTATCGGTTACATTTTTCAGCATGTATCATAACTACTACAGTCCGTCCAACGAGTCGTTCAGATACTGTCACACTAAATCCGAGAAATCGAAGCAAGCCCTAACAATGACCCGTATAGATCCGTTCCTGAATAGCTGGAGTCCCTTACATCTATCACGTGCTTAGCAGGCGAATGTTCTGTTTACCTTTACTGACTCGACTCGTTAGACAGAAGTTATATTCATATACTTAGTACTCCGCTACAGAATCATTGCTCGAGTCAGTGTTGGCTTACTGCTCCAGGATGGGCAGACCAATGGTGGTCTCATTTACCGTATGGAACAGGTTCTCACCGCACACGGGTGCTTCGGTGAGTAGTTGTGCCGAATCGGGAAGGAGGCGATGGCGCAGTGTCATCACTCCTCAGAGTACGCTGGGGGCTCGGCGTGGACCCCTCAGTGACGAGTCCTCCTAACGGTAGTAGGATGGGATTTTTCTTCTCCAGTATTGGAGGGGAGGGACCAATGGACTGCTGCGGCCTCCTTTTACGAGGCGGTTATGCTGCAGAAGGAAGCCGCGGAGCAGAATAACGAAGTTCGCAATCCCGCGTGGCGGGCACGGGGGAGTGGCCGCCGGAGGGGCGGGGGGGGGGCCC